GGCTCAGATGAATGAAACCAAATCAAACCATAAAACAGTAACTGAAACCAGGCAATTTTTCATGCACACACATGCACACGCACACATACACACAAGTGTGTAAATTTATACATGAGTATATCATTAAAAAACTCTATTGGAGATGGCCAGATGCCATGAGAATAAAAATCTGCAACTGACAGGGGTGGGGAGGTAGGGGAAATCTCCAGAAGAAGAGAGAGACCTGGGATAAGGGAAACAACCAAGAATCAATGGGGGTGACCTTAGCTTAAAAGCTATCAGAAATAAGGCTGGAAGGGAGTAAGCCTTAAAAGGAATTCTAAGTGAACTAATATTGAATAAGTATATAATAAATAGATCATAATGTTAAGTGTTACAAATGCTTGATTATCAAACAAGTTTCATCTACAGCTAAAAAAAAGTGTTTACAAAAATTTAATTTGCTTACATGTTAGAACTCCTCTATTGTTTGTAGCCAAATTTAAAAAATATATATTATAAAGAAGAAAACAAAGATCTAAAGATTCTAGAACATGGCTACTGACAAAGCCTTTCCTTCTGTCAACAACTCTCTGTACAGAGGGCCTAGCCTGGTGATGTGCACTTAGTGGAGGCTCAATAAACATTTCCTAAGATTCAGCTATTTTCTGGGTCACCAAAGAATGATTCAAGAGTGCAAATGTTTCAGGTATTTTTGAATGTTTGAGTATCACAAAAGGTTTATACTTGCATATATGCTATCTCTGGTAGTACTAATATAATGGAATTAGTGAAATACTCCATATAACTCAACCAGAGTCATGGACACAAGGTGATTACTACTCAAGCACTTCTAAAACCTTTGTAAAGAAAAGAAGATGAAAGAAAAGAAGAGAAATGAAGAGGAAAGAAACAAAAAGGAAAGAAAAAAAAGTAGAAAGAAACAGAGTCTGCCTGGCTTTGAACTTGCAAAGCCTATGTATCCCAAATTCTAGGTTAAGGCATGAGCCATTATACTTGGTCATGAAAGTACAGTGTAAGTAAATTCAGGCCAAGTAAGCTATCCTTTATATCTATTCATTGATTTAATTATATATTTAACAGTTTTACTTGTAATTATTTCAAAAGGCAAGATCACAGATACAAACAATACTATTTCTTTTCACAGATTCAGGAGATACAAAATCATTACGATCTTCATAGTTCCAACAAAATATTTAAATTTGGAAGAAGCTTTTTATAGTGGATCTGAACAAAAATGGCCCCCACAGACTCATAGGGAGAAGCACTATTGGAGGAAGTATGTCACTGGTGTGGGCTTTGAGGTCTCAGTTGCTCAAGCCAGGCCCAGTGCCTCATTCTTTTTTCTTGCTGCCTGCTGATCCAGATAATAGCACCATGTTTGCCTGCACACAACATGCATCCAGTGGTGATGCTAAAGGACTAAATCTCATCCAGCCCCAATTAAATGTTTTCTTTATAAAAGTTACAATTGTCATGGCATCCCTTCATAGCAAAAATCCTAAGACACTTTTCTTAAAAACTGTATTTATAACCTATAATATTCATGAAGACACTGAAAACATAGGAACCTTTCTTTTTTTATAGTTAAATTTCAATTATAGGAGCCTTGGATTTTTTATGTGACCTTCAGGTCAAATTCTGTGCTCAGTATTAACTGAATTAACGTCAATTTCTTTATGAATGAACCACAAGACTCATAAATTAAGATGAAAAAATGTGCATTCATATTATTTATTATACAGCATAATCTGTAAATCTGATACTAATGAGACTCAAGATTTAAATGGCTGAGGAATGTGTTTAGTGAATTACTGCCAATCAATGCCTCTATTCCAGGATAAATGTAATCTTGGATGGGAACACACCTATTATTACAAATGCCTAACTAAGTACAGTGCCTCATTATTTCAAAATGTCACTCTCAATTTATAGAGTAACACATAAACATCTTTCTACCATATACATGGCTGTCTTTCCTTCAAATAAATAGTAAGTAGTAACTATTCAAGTTACTTAAAGTAAATGGTAAATAGCAACTGACTATATAGAAAAACTACAATCTGACCATCTTTTTGGAAGTAAAAGAAATCCAGTAGACATTAAAGAACTAAACTTGTGCTTGAAGATGTAGCTCATTAGGTATAGCACATGTGTAGCATGCATTAAGTTCTGGGTTTGATCTTGAGCACTATATAAAATCAAGCACAGTGATGCACACCTATAATCCAGCAATTGGAAGATAGAGGGATAAGTAATGTAAGTTCTGGGTCATCTTTGGTTTGCCTGAGACATATGGGACCCTGTCTCAGAGGGAGCCTGAGATACATGATACCCTGTCTCTATGGAAACCTGAGATACATTGGAGGGTGGGGGGGGGGGGGAAATCTGTTTAATAAAAAAAATAGGTAAGAGCAAAAGTAGTCATAACTCTATATCTGTTATTGTAGGTACCTTATGTTTATATCACATAAAACAACTGCCTTTTCAAGTTACCTTATTTCATGAAAATTCTTCCATTCACATTATTTAATCAACTAACAAACATTTATCGAGTACTGAATTTTTCCTAGGTATAAGGAGATGGAGTTATAAAGATGAGCCCTATTGAAAAAACAGACAAAAACCATAATTGGGCCCAGGTGGTGGTGCACAACTTTAATCCTAGTATTAGAGGGAGAAGCAGGAAGATCTCTGTGAGTTCTAGATCAACTTGGTCTACACTGTGAGTTCCAGCAAACAAAGGCTACAAAAGGAAACCACATCTCAAAACAAGCAAACACTCAAACAAAACAGAACCAATTACCTCCTCATCCCAAACCAAACGAAACCAAACCAAACCAAACCAAACCAAACCAAACCAAACCAAACCAAAGCAAAAAAACAAACAAACAACAAAAAAAATCAAACAAAAATTCTCTTAATTGAAGGGAAGACACTGTTGAATAAGCCAAACGCACTAGTACACTTTTGAATTAATACTGTCTACAGTTTCACATTTGCAATAACGAAAGAGTACTCTACTCTACTGAAGAAACACTGGATACCTAGAAATTTTATCATTGCTTAGAATTACTTTCTCCTTTTGCTGTTCTACAGAAAAATTTAAAATCTTAAAGCATAGGTTTGCAAAAATACAAAAGCTTAGCACTTCAAATTAACATATGCTAATATCTGCTTTATACTTTTATTAAAGAATTATTTTCATAATCCAGAAATATTTTAATTGATCTAGTATGAATAACTAAGGGATTGTTAAGAGCTTCCAGCTAGATGACCCCGGGTAAATTAACTTAACTTTGACCTTTAGTTTTCTCATTTAAACATAATCATCCCGACCAAAGTTGAACTGTCTTATATTTGGCCCTCCATATCCATTTGGTTGGATTGCATCAGCTAGAGCCACAGTTCTCAACATCCCTAATGCTGTGACCCTTTAATACATTCCTCATGATGTGATGACTCCCCAACCATAAAATTATTTTGTTGTAACTTCATAAGTGTAATTTTGCTACTGTTATGAATCATAATGTAAATATCTATGTTTTCCAATAAACTTAGGTCACCACTGTGAAAGGTAAAATAAATTTAGGTCATCCACTCACTCCTAAATGGATTACAACCTGTAGATTGAGAACTGCTGACCTAGAGGTACCATGAAGAGACCATAGTAAGGAAGGAAAATGAAGCTATTCTTTTATGTACTCTATATTAAACACCAAAGTTGGCAATATCTCTACCAAAATCAGTCCTCAGCTCCTCAGCTCAGTACCTTCTACTATGCCTGTACAAAATAGAATGATAAATGTTGCAGGATACTTCATCACACTGTGAACCCAGAGATTGTGTTATTTACTGAAAAAAGAAAAAAGAAAAAAAAAAACCCAGCTGTTTCTACTTGTGGTGTGGCTCAGCCCTTAGCACACACCTTTAATTCCAAAGGATGAAGATAAAGTTAGTTTGTAGAAGGACACACCCATGTCTGAAAGTGATTATCTGAGTACCAGAAAAAGTGACTAATCAGAGAAAGATCTGACAGAATAAGATGCACCAACTCTCAGGAGAAGAGAAGGGAAAGGGAAGAGAGCAGAGCAGAGAGAGAAAGAGGGCAGAGGCAGTTTTCTGGACAATGGATAGAGAGAGGCTACAGACAGAGAACAAGCTAGACATAGTAAAGACAGTACGGGCGAAGGCAATGAGAAGGAGCCAGAGGTTCAGAACAGATTGCTAGAGTTAGTTTGGGGCCAAGTAGAGCAAAACGTTAGAGAGACATCAGATTGAATCAGTCAGCTTGGATAGGAGTTTGAGCCAGAACAGCTAAGTAGAACCAGTCAGCCAGAGTTCAGAAAGAACTAGAAAGGATAAGCATATTCAGCAGTAAGTCTCAGAGGCTGAAAACATTCTAGGCCTAGATCATAAGATCAGACAGTGGCTAGAAGCTTCCAGAACTAGGTCTAGGTTAAGAAGACAGAGGCAGTAAGCCTCTGAAACGAGAAGACAACAGGAGAATAAAAATACTTTTACAGATAAATTGTATATAGTTGCTGCAGCACTTGTGGGGCAGAGGCAGGTGGATCTCCAGGTATGTGGCCAACTTGGTCTACATAGTGAGTTCCAGGATAGGCAGGGCTACGCAGAGAAATCCTGTCTTAAAAAAACAAAACCAAAACAACAACAGCAACAAAAGTCTATATAGGAAGCAGAAATTCCTGAACTAAATCTGCAAACTAGCCACTGAATTATTTTCTTGCAAAATGAACTGTTCAGCATCCTAAATTTAGTAAGATATAAACAATCCATAAGCTTAAATAAATATTTAGAACTTGGAGTTGTAGCAAGAAAAGACTAAAGAGTCATGTGGCTGGCATTAAGGGACTTTGGCAAATCTAGACTAGTATCTTTACCATCCTTACCTATCAGTCATGAAACAATCACGCATCACCATTGGCAGATCATGTCAGCAACCTCCTAAGGAAATCCCACCTCACCTCCTGTCTTACCTCATCCTTTATGTCTTCCTGTTGCTGAGCTGAGAAAATCTCCATTGCGGCCATGAGTCTCATCATTAACTCATCCACTGTTGTATTACCTGATGAGACATAAGAGAGACAGCGCTCTATAAAGAATTTTATATAACTTTAAGCTATTAACATTGTTAAAAATGAAAAACCATTTTTAGTAAAGAATTAACAGCATTAAAACCTAAAGACAAGAAAGCTAGTATTTAAAGTACTTTCAATGAAATGTTTCATATGTTCAATGAGTAACAGTAGCAGTTGAAATTTTAGAAAAATCAGATTTAAAGCAACTTCAATTAACAATTTTTAGCACCAGAAAGAAGAATGTCCAAGTCATGAGGTTCAAAAGTCCTTTCAATTTATAAAAGCAATAGTGTTAATAACACTAGCAAGAGCTACCAATTGTTTACATGTCTGTGATTATGCTAAATTACTTTATACTTTCATCTCATCTGTACAGTTCCTTGAAGAAGTAATTATACTCTACATTTTCAAGAGAAGGAAAAAATATTTTTAAAGGGCTCAAGAAACCCACCCAACAAAGATCAAGGCAGTAAAAACAGGGTTGGGACTTGAAACCAGGTGAGGCTAATTCAGGAGCCAGCCCTTCCTCTGATGTCTATCTCTTTGTGCACCCCGACTCTAGCACCCCAACTTCCACCAACGTGGAGCTGGAGACTGACATGCTAGATAACCACTTTACCACTAAGCTACCTAAAAAGCTACACCCTTCCTCTGCCAGATATTTTCTATACTTGGAATCATTGCTGAAATTTTTCTGGCAAAATAAACAGGAATTCAATGTTTAAAAAAAAAATCTATTTCCCTCAATGAATATTTTCCCTTTAAGTTTTCAAATGAATGACTAGACTATGATCTTTATAAAGAGTTTAAAGATGATTGATTTTTCCTTAACCTTATTTTGCTCCCTAAATTTTAAAAAAATGGCAATGTGCATAAATAACATCTCCTAAATGCATATGGTTTTGCTTGGGATGGCTTATAAAAGAGAAATTCACGAGGTTACAATGAGGGAGCGCTCTTTCCTTTCAAATCTGCAGGAAGAAAGAGATATTCTTCAGGGCCTGTGATGTCATCATGCCACATTAATGAAATGACATCAGGATGATAAAGAGCAAGCATCCCTGATGGTGTTTTAGAGCACAGGACATGGTTAATATGATTTTTCAATGACCTTTCTTCAAATTTCCCTCATGGCTGTTGGCAGCATGGGGTTAGGGAGCACCTGTGGTATCCAACAAACAAGATGGTCCAGTTTGTTCACAGCACCATTATTCTCTCAATAAGCTATGGGCCACACATTATCTGGGCACTAAGAAAACAGAACTGGCCTTGTACTAAGAGTTGAAATAAAAATTGTGCTACTCACAGGGTATTTAATCTAGTTTATAGAAACTGTCTAGCTCATAACAAAGGCTCCATAAGTATGTGTTTAATAAGAATGAGGAACTATAATGATGGCTCAGTGGTTAAAAGAATGTGGTAGTTTGAACAGGTACTGCCCCGTAGAAACAGTGTTTGAATGCTTAGCCTATAGGGAATAGCACTATTAGGAGGTGTAGCCTTGTTAGAAGAAGTGTGTCACTGTAGGGACTGGATTTGAGGTCTCCTAGTTCAAAGTATACCCAGTGTGGCACAGAGTCTCCTTCTGCTACCTGTGGATCAAGATGTAGAACTCTCAGGTTCTCCAGCACTATGTCTGCCTGCACGCTGTCATGCTTTCTGCCATGATAGTAATGGATTGAACCTCTGAAACTGTAAGCCATTTCAATTAAACGTTTCCCTTTATAAGAGTTGCAGTGGTCATGATATCTCTTCACAGCAATAAAACCCTAACTAAGATAGAGCACTTGCTGTTCTCTCAGATGACCTAGGTTGGATTTTCAGAACCCACAAGGCAGCTTAACGGTTTGTAACTCCAGGTTCAGTGGACTCTGCCACCTTTTTCCAGTCTCTGAGGACACCAGCGACACATGTGATGCACAAATGTATATGCAGGCAAAACACTCATACACATGGAATAAAAGTGAATATTTTAAAAAGTGAATGAAAACAAGAATGAGTAGACTGTAGCTAAGAATCAATTTTCTTGTTCTCAAAAGAAAGGTGACACTCTTCTGTAAGGGTCTTTGAAGCAGCAGAGATAATGTTATCATGTGCTTGGTACACAGAATACAATTATTGGTAGTTATTACTAATAGATATGACAGATGGCAAAAGAAGGTTCTGAACACTCTGTAGATACTGTTCTTGTGTAAGACACTGAATTTCCATATCTCATCTGTAAATAGCAGGACTACAAGTCTGAGTATGAGAAGAAAACTTTATGGCATGTACTCGTGGTAGTTTGAATGAGAACTGTTCTGCACAAGCTCATGAGTTTGAATACTTGATTCCCACTGGTGAAGTTGCATAGGGAGGTAATAGAACTTTTAGGGTATAGAGCCTTGATGAAGGAAGTATGTAACAGACGGCATGCTTTGAGAGTTTACAATCTTGTCTCATTTCCACTTTGTTTTGTTTCCTGTGTTGCAAAAATGTGATTAGCCAGCTTGCTACTCTGAATGCCTGCTGCCATGTCTTCCTCAACATTATGGACTTCCACTCTGGAAGTATAGGACAAAATATACAAATTATAAATGGGAAAATATTATAGTTATATGAATGCTAACAGAGAGGAGCCACTGCTAAACTGAGCTTATAGGTACTTCATACCTGAGTCCTCAATGGTCAGAGACAGAAAAAGGAACCAGTTAATGTAGTTTAGGGGAAAATGACAAAATACAGTGTCAGTTTCCAAACTTTGCCTCAGGACCTTTTTGGAGTCTTAAAAACCATTAGAATTCTCAAAATAACCTTAGTTTATGTGGTTTATAGCTATTCTGTTGCTGTAATATAATACTATGACCAAAGTAACTTGAGTTTGTTTTGGCTTATGGTTCCAGACGGATAGAGCCCATTATGGCAGGAAAGCATGGCACAGGGGTGGGAAGGAAGCTGGCTGGTCACATTTAATCATATAAGAAGCAAAGAGAGTAGAGAGAAGCTATGTATCTTCAAAGCCTGCCCCCAGTGACATACTTCCTCCAGCAAGGCCACAACTCCTAAAGGTTCTACAACCTCCTCAAGCAGTATCACCAGCTGTACACCAAATTCAAATACCTGAACCTACAAAGGGACTTTAGAACCTCTATAATAAAATGGCAAGCAAAATGTCTCACTGGGTAAAGGTGCTGGCACCAAACCTGATAACCTGAGTTTGGACCACAGAACCTACCTACATAGTAAAGATGAGACCACACACATAACAAATAAATGTAATGCAACGTTTTTAAGAAATTAAAATGAAAATACTTATATGTATCAATTCATTTAAAAGTAACAGTGCTATCATAGTCTAATATAATGTTATATTTCTGTTAACAAAATGTATTCCAGAAGAAAAAAGTGCCAAGAATGTCACTGTTATAACATTCTCACATATTTCTTCTTTTACTCTCTAGCTCAACAAAAACCAATTATAATTGTGATATCAATATTAAACTTGTGAAAATATGCTGTACTGTTTGAAATTTATGAAGAATATGTGGCTTTCTGCATGTATGTATACACACACACTCACACACACACACTCAGAAAAGAAACATTTTTTTTTTTTTTGGGTGCTGAAGACAAACATCTTTATTGATACTACCAAAATTTTGGCAAACATTTCAAAACAGATTTGTAAACATAATGCTTCCCTTTTCAACCGGCAGCACTCTGAGACAACCTGAATCAACTTTAGTTCAAATCCTTATGTTTGACCACATAACTTATGTTCCCACATGATAAGACAAGTGATAGTTTAAATCAACATTAACAGATAAACTCCATGAAATGAAAGTTTGTGCTATTTGATGAATTACAGTATGTTATGGTTAAATATATCTACTCTTTTTTATATTCCTGGTATCCAGGATAAAAAAAAATCTTTAAATATACATCTGATGTAGGTAATAGCTGAAAAGAAATATTTTAATAGGTATTTCTATTTATATTTCTTTGATACTTACTCAGTTTGACAAGAAGTTCTTCAAATTAGCAGCATGGAGAATTTAAAAGTATCAAAACATATACTTTCCTACCATGTTACACTAGAAGTCTTTTCCCTTTCCCCTCCAAAACTCCATGGCTTCTCTTTTATTGTTCAGGCTGACTTTGAACTCTTGATCTTTCTGCCTCACTCACTAGAGTAGCTGAGATTACAAGTGCATCCTACAGTACCCAGCTCCACTTTCTCTGAACTGATCTTTTTTTCCATGCATAACTTCATTCCATTAGGCACTAACTCCTTTTGAAAACATTACTTCACTGACTTATACATTTCTTCTGAATTTTGATGCATTATATATGATATTTAAAAAAAATCACATTTGTCAATGTTGGCATTTCGTCTAGGCTCCGCCTCACAGTTACTGGGCAACAGCCAGACTCACTATAAAAGGGGCTGCTTGCCCCCTCCTCACTCTCTTGCCTTCTTACTCTTGCTCTCTCCTCTTATCCTCTTCCCATTCCCCTCCCCCCCTCTATGTGCTCATGGCCAGCCTCTACTCCTCTTTTCTCTCTCTCTCCATCTCTGCCTTTCTCTGTCTCTACTACCCTCAACTCCCCTCCCCAAGCCCTGAATAAACTCTATTCTATACTATACAGTCACATGGCTGGTCCCTCAGGGGGAAGGAATGCCTCAGCATGGGCCCACAGCATGGAGAATTTAAAAGACCCTCCTTCCCCCACAGGATATCGCGCCTCCATCAAACATAACTCTGGTCTCTTATCTTTTTATAAAACACAGCAGTTAATATCACTGTTAATGTCATCAAAAATTATTTATGCTGCTAGTCTTCCAGTGGAGGATATAAATTTTTTTATTAAAAACTCAAATTTTATCATTGGCAACAAATAACACTGGTTCTTTTACTTGAAAGTGACAGAATTATTTTTGTTTTGTAGAAACTGTTTCCCAAATGCTCAGTCTATAGAAGCATAATTTGTCTGTCAGGCTGTAAAATGACTTCAGGGAAGGCAGGGAGAAGCGACTAGTGTAGCTCATGAAACCCCACAGGAGCTTCTCCTTGAGACAACTAGAATACATTCGCTTCCATCACCTAACAAAAGGGCTAACATTTAAAACAAAAAAAACAAAAGAACCAAAAACCTGTTTGGTTCTTTAAGGACCCTCTTAAATGGCCTTTTCCTTTTGCAACTGTAAGTGAGTGGCAGTGGTGGATATTACTAATCCAAGATGAGCTTGACTTCCCGCTAAGATGACAACTGTTTTAGGAACCACTGTTTTGAACCACTCCTGTAAATGCTAACACAGTGAAAAGGACAAAACACAAGTAAGCTATAAAAGCAACGCAAAGTGAAACAAAACCTAAAATAATTGTGGTTCTGCAGATTTCCTGAAACAGAGCTTCTGGAGTTCATAGCCTATACTTTGTAGGACACAAGCTATCACAATGTTGCCTGTGATGAGGAAAACAAGAAAAAGAATGTCTTCACTTTCTCCTCACCCCACTGGAATCTGATCCCTCAGCTGGTCTTTTAAAAGACTGCCTAGGAAACCATGCTCTGCAAAGTTATAGAAAAAACAAAATACCTGAGCTTTTGTTTTGTGTAGGCTTTAAAGGCACTGGAATGCACAAATCCCCTCCCCCATTACACTTAAATGGGGCCTAAATGAAGTACCTCAGACCCAAGCTTCAGCTTGGAGCACTTGAAAACTCTTTTTTCCGGGCGGCACGGAGTGGGCGAACTAATTTTATATAAGCTTTCCCATGAACACAGCAATGCTTTACTGTAGCTTTTGGATTCGTTAGTAACAACAAAAACCTTCACTCTTCTTTTTTTAAAGAAAAAATGTAAAGTATGGTTACATTTCTAGGAAAATGTAAATGATGGTTAAATCCACAGGAATCCCGCAGCTTTTTTGCCTCAGGGGTGCATCTCAGGCAGAAGTCACACAAATAAGGAGGAACAACTGACACGTGAAAAATTCAATTTGCAATGTATAGTCACTGGATCATCTAGATAATTAAAGATAAGCAATTCTTTCAACTAGTCAATATTACAGCTATAAATCAACAGAAATAAATGTCACACCCGACAAATGATTATAACCTAACTGCTAGTTTTAGGGAATTAACCATTTCTGAACATAACTTCACTGTCCTACGTCTGAAGGAGTATGTGATTCTACTGGGTTATTAGTGCAGATGTTTAACAACATATTCATTTTTCATAGTACATATGCTTTTTTTTTCACTTTTTATTGTTTTATTTATTTACACTTCAAATGTTGTCACCATTCCCGGCTTCCCCTCCTCAACCCCCCATTCCATTTCCCTTCCCCCTGCCTCTATGATTCTTAAAAACACAAAATCTATATACTAACAGCCTTCACTACCACTTAAGAGACACTATGTAGACCAGGCTTGCTTCCAACTTGTTACAGGTCCTCCTGACTCAATATCTCAAGTATGGAATTCAACTTTGCAAGTGATGAATTTCACAGAAATTAATTTAATGAATTTAATGCATTACCACACCTGGCATTAACATGCTATTCCTTGTTAAATAAATTTGATAGTGCGTATGCTTTAAAAGATGTTCTTTAGGATGTTTTATATTTTAAATGGAAAAATGGTAAGGTCATCTTAACATTTTATTTCTGTCGTGGCATATACTTTACCTTGTATCACATTTAACACTTCATTAGATGATCGCTTTCCCATGATAATCAGGAAAAGTGGAAATTGATCCGTCTTTTGAGTGCGAATGGTTTGTGCAATTACGCTGCCAAAGTGTCTATTGCACATTGTCAGAAATCTAAAATAAAGCAAAATCCAAAATAAGTTTCAAACAAATATATTAGTAGATCTGAGATGCCATCACTAATTATGTAAAGATAAGATAACCTAACTTACACCAGTATGGAAAATTTTACTAGGTTGAGTTTTCGACTAAATCTTTAATGGTTATCATATAGAAAAGAAGGAAGCATACCCTAAATGCTGTCAGGGGCTGACAGCACAGGATTCCCTTTAAGTCTCAAATGTTGCAAGATGTACTACTTTTTAAACTATGAGAAAACAAAAGAATTTCCAGGAGAGAATTCCTTAACTAGAATAAATAATAGAGTGTGGTACAAAGGAAGCTGACTAGCATCATTCTAAAAATAAATTTAGCAACATTTCCCTAAGTCCTTAGACTCAAGAACTTCATGGAAGCACTGTGTTTCCTCTAGAAGTAGGAGGTCTTCTAGTTTTGTATTTAGTATGGAATAAAAGCAATTCTAAGCTTTTGGCCAAAAAAGCTCAGAGATATTAGCATACTGAAGTCTAGCATTAGTATTCTTAACACGATCTGGAATAAATGAAAAAACTGATAAAGCTTTTCTCTTCTATTAGAGGACTGTTTGAAATTAGCATTTCTTTCAAGAGAAAAGGGTAGCTTATGATATGTTTTCAGATCTGATGGTAAAAAGTAAATGTCATAATAATAATGAATTATGAAAGACCAAATGCAAATATAGAATGCTTTAATAAGATCCAATTTAATAAAGTCTGTAAAAATAATGGACTTTTAATAACACAGGTCACAAAAGGCAAAACAGTGGAAATTCTGGAGACTAGCCACTGGTACTAGCTTATTAATTCTTAATTATGTTCATGAAAGGCAACTTAAATCGTGTGTTTTCTTATGCCTTATGATAATATTTTAGGTAACAACTCCTCTGAAATGTATGTTCTATCTGATGAGCAAAGTCCTGTCGTCACATGCATTAGAAGGTAAATCTATTTGAAAAGACAAATGGTATTAAAATGTCATGTGCTCAGATTCACTTGATAACCAATTCAAAACAGAATCAAACCTCTTAATTTTTAAATCCAATACATTTTCTGTCAATAGAAATTCATTTCAGAAATTTAGGCTGAATCTTTTGTAAAACCCGTGCTGTGACTACAGAAAGTAGATCTTGTTAAGGGCAGCTAAACCTGTCAGCTAGAGTGTCAAGACAAGTTAGCACCACACTGCAGTACGTTCATTGGGAGGCAGGTTCATATACACATTTAGTGCAGCAATAACCAGACCTCATAGCAATTTGAAATGACAAGGCCTTAAGAAATCCATTGTCAGCCATGAAATATCAGTGCCCCCATGAAAATTCAAATCTTCACATTCCACAACTATTATGGGATAAAAGGTTCTCAGAGCAGCCTAAGCTTCCCTACCAAATTTCACACTCCTAAAGCTTTAACTCATCAACAGAGATGTGTAAATCAGGAGACTAGCAAGTTAGGGTCTCAGTTTTCTTTATATGACTTACTAAAATACTTGAAGTCAGTCTTGACCCTGAGCTGATCATTGGCAACCTCTAAAATTAAAGATGTCAAAAAACAGTTGGAATGCTATTTCCTACAAAAGGGAGAAAAACAAGTCCTTGTTGCTTTCACACCAGTGGATTGAGTGGATATCACACAGTAGATGCCCATCATAACACTGGCCTCACTAGCTAAACAGGATGCCCTCTGGCCCCTTTAAAAGGAAAGAAAAGGGAAAGGAAGGAAAGGAGTACATAACTGAATGGGTAGAAAGAAGACTACAGAAGAGAGAGGGAAACATGACGGAGTGGAGAAGGACATGGAAAGGTAGGAAGAGAAGATTATATTAGCCAAAATTTTAGTTCAAAACCAGAAAGACAGACATGGTAAAAACCAAACTGTTTTTAACAGAAAATGCATGTTTCTCATATTTGTGGTATTGTTCCCTTTGAATAGTTAAAAGTATTCCTGATGGTGCAAAATTGTCAACCCAACTGCAACTCACTCAATATTTTTTCAGTCAGATTTCATGAAAGAATAAATAAATGATTGCTACAACCATTAGATTCCAGCAATTTTGACCCCAAAGTAGGAAGTAACCATTTTACAACATTGGGGAATCTCTTATTTTCTCTTTGAACTGTAGAAGACTTAATTAAATAAACCAATGACCATAGACTTTGTTTGAAAAAGGAAATAAAAAGTTATTAGGGGGTGGCTCAGTGGGATAGAAAGGGCACTTGCTGTGGAAGCATGAACACCTAAGTATAGAGCCTCAGCATCCATGATAAAAAAGAAAACAGTAGCCTCAGTACTAAGCAGCTGAAAAGCAGAGGATTGCTGGAGCTTACTGTCTTCCAGCCTAGACCTAGATTTAGTCACAATTGAATAAGGCAAAGATTAATAGACCAGGATGCCAAGATCGTCTAGTCTGCATGCACATGGGTATATACTCCTGCACACAAATGTGTACATACACCTCCAAAAAAAAAAAAAAAGACGGCCAAATGATGAAAAAACCCCTTTCTTCTCATTTTTTGAGACAGGTTCTCATGCAGGCCAGGCTGACCTCAGAATCCTCCTGATCCTTCTTCTTCTACCTTGCAAGTACTGGAATTACAGCTGTGTGCCACCACACTTGCCTCAAGGAGGTTAAATTCTGTAAACCTACTGCTTACTTAGTATGGCAATAACTGTTTTTGATTTAAAAAACATGGAAGTTGCAATACTATCACTAAATGCTTCAATCTGATTGCCACGAGTTTAAAGATGATTCCAACATAAAGTGGAGAGAACATATTTTAACACACCTACCATTTTACAAGGACTAAATGAAGGAGGATATAGAAGACATTCAAACTTGCTCTTATTATTTGGTAGGCCCTCAAACCTAGTACTTATGTTGTTACTCTTAAATGCTTAATGATATTTAGCATTGAAAAAAATTGTCTGTATGCATGTGTCTCTCTGCCTGTGTAAGTATGTGGGAGAGTGTGTGGCAGAATTTACATGTGGAAATAAGAGGGAAACTTGCTGGAGTCAGTTCTATTCTACCTCATGGATCCTGGGGATGGAACTTGAGTTAGTAGGTATGGTGTCAACTGCCTTTACCAACTGAACTATCTGCTATGTAACATTTTCATCACTGATTTTATGATTAAAATGGTACGTTCACACCAACACTAAAAATATTTTTGCACAACAAAACAGTAACTAAACAAAAGCAACGACTGGTTTTATTATTAAAGAATAGAGCTGGGCAGATAGCTCAATCAGTACAGTTCTTGCCATATACTATGAGGATCTGAGTTCAATCAATAAGTCCTATATAAAAATCCAGGTAGTGGCAGTACTTGAAATCCTAGTCAAAGAAGGTGGAGACAGGAGGATGTCTGGGGCTCTCAGGCCAGCCAGCCAAGCCTAAATAGCAAGCTCACATCTCTGGGAAGAACCATGCTTCAGAAAATAAGGGAGTTCCTGAGGAATATCTGATATTAACCTCTGGCTTCTATGTGGAGACAAATGTAGGCATATATGCACATATAGCAGCACCATGAACCACGTATTTAATAACAGAGATTATTAAAATTCAGCAGATGAGAGTTATGTCCAACCTAGTAGCCTGCAGTACTTAGTACCTATTACTTTGAGTCAAGCCTGCATAGACCATGCTTTAGCTGCAGCTGCTCACCAAATTCTTGTGATTTTGGCTTAACAAAGTTCTTCTCTTAAAAAAAAAGTCCAAGGCAGCTTTCTATCAAGAATAAGCCTCTAAGTTTACATATATGCACATGTTCTGAAAGAACAGAGTGTAAGACAAGGAACTTAAAGGCCACACTCAATCTCACTAACATAATGCTTTTCTTGCCGTTTCCCTTTAATAGGAAAACATAGTGAAGCTCCGTTAACTTGAAGTATGATTTATCAAGCACACCAAAACCAGGCCAGCCATAACATTATCATTTTGACTACAACTTCAGTTTTACAATTCCTTCCACCCCATCATTCAGTTCTTTTCTGGAGTTCCTGCTGGAAATGTTCTTCAGCACTGCTGGGATAACCCCTTCTGCCCTTTGAGGTAGCTTTGAGTTTTATACTCTTAAGTCTTTGATCTATACTGAATTAGGTAAACAAGTACAGAGCAAAGCTGCAGAGACTATATACTCAGTGATCCTCAACTTCTAGTGTCCCAGGGAGTTTCTCTAAATGGCAAGTTTCCCTGGAGATTCTGACTAGATAGAACTGGGTGAGGCAAGGAAGCAGATCCTTTAATAGATGTCTTTTCCCAGGCATTGTTTACATTTGGAACATTTTTCAAGAAACCCTTTAAGTTTTCTTTTGTTGTCTCTGAAGGCAGTTAGGAATCATCTCAAAGATATTTTGGGTAATGCAGCTTCACCGAACTCTATCTTGTTTCCTTAAGTAATGTTAATTCCTACTAACTTCCTTAGTATGGTGAGCTCAGATCGGCTGTAGCACATCTAAACAAATATCTCACAAGTCTATGAGTTGCAGGTCATAGACAGAAAACAAAACAGGGAGTGGGAGGTTATAGTACAAAATGAAATGTTTAGGAAAGAAGACCTCACTGCAATGTTGACATTTGATCAAAAGTTCAAAAGAGGTGAAAGTGAAGTCAATAGCAGGAAAAGAGAACAACAAATACAAGACATTTAAATGGAAGAGCCTCATATAGTTAACGTAACAAGAATCTAGGTGACTTCATTCGGGATAGTTTTCAGTTACATTAAGTTTCATGACTATATTTTTCTTTACAGCTAAATAGAATTCTACTGTGTGTAGGTACAAAATTTTCATTATCATTCGTCAACTGAAGGGCATCTAGGTTGTTTCCATTTCCTAGATATTATGAATCAAGAGCATTAATCAACAGGGCTGATCAAGTATCTATGGAGTATGATACTGAATCTTCTCAGGCTATGCCAAAGAGCCGTAGAACTAGGTTTTACATTAGATCCATGTTTAGCTTTCTGAGAACTCTCT